TAGAAGCGGTCCCAGGAAAGATGTCCTGTCCGGACCTCTTGGGGCAGACGTTGCGAACAAATCACGATGTCGGATTTCTGAGGATGGGGGTAAGGGCAGGAGGAGGACGAGAGGACGGCAGGGGAGGCGAGGGTGGGAGGGGGCGGGGGAAGGGGGTGGATGAGGATGGGGATGCCAGAGGGCGATGAGGAGAGGGCAGAGGAAGGGAGGGGAAGGGGGATGGGAATTTTTTCGCCCGCTCCAGACCCTGCTTTTCTCGAGGTCCCCGTAGGCCAAACAACTCGCACAGTAGGCAATGCAGCATCGAACCTCGCGGACCCGGAATAAGACTTGGCAGAAGGCAGGGCGGGCGGAGTGGAGATGCGTGAGGGGGGGCCCCCTCCCTCCCTCCCGCCCGCCCATGCCCGCCCGTCCATCCCCCTCGCTCAGCCACGCGCAAAGGGGGGTGGGGGGAGGGGGAGGGCTTCTTAGAAGCACCCCTGCTTCTTAGAAGACGCGGGCCTTCTCTATAGACGTAAGGCCGGCGCCTTCTAAGAACAGCCTGCTTCTAAGAAGCCCTCCCCCCCCCCCCCACCCCCTTGTGCGCGCCGCCAACTCGCGCTTCCCAGCCTTCATCTGCATCCGCTTCCGCGGCTGCACAGCCTCCTCCCTTTACTGCGCCTCGCCGCCCGCCCCCCTCTCTCCCCCTCTCGCGCCATGCTCACCCCGCCCCCCTCTGCGCCGTGGTTTACTCCAGAGGGGAGAAAGAAGCGGAGCACTGCAGACGAGGAAAGCGGCGTGGCGGCGGTGGTTCCACACGGCGACCCCCACAGAACAAACGATCCACGAGTCGAGAAGGACGTCCTGTGAACGGGGGCCGAGCTTCCCCGGGCGCGCGCCGTGGCGGTCTGGGCGGCCAGCGCAAACCAAACGAATGGAAAGGCAATCGGCGCACTTCGAGTTGCCCCTCCCGGACCCGCCCGGGGGAAGCAGAGGGCCACGGGCGCGGGGCAGGAAGGAAGGCAGAAGAGAACGAGCAGGAACGAGTGGAGGGGGGAAGGCCGAAATGGCGCAACATGTTTCTCTCTGAAGGCCGCTGGGTGCGACTGGCGACCAGGCCGGAAGACGCAAGAGAAGCAAGCCAGGCCTGGCCCGAGGGCAAGCCCGCATAACGAGACTTGACCGCTGCTTACTGGGGGCGCCGAGTGGGGCGGACAAATCTTGCCCCCCCCCCCCCGCGGAAGACAGAGACAAGCACAAGAAGGAGGAAGTCAGAGGGCAACAACATATGCACGTGTACGCGGTTTGTTTCCGCCGAATTGCGTTTGAACGCGGAGGTTCGTGCACGCAATACCGCGGAGGGCGTACATGTACACATGTCGTCGCTCGCTCAGGAAGAGGGGGGGAAGTGGGGGAGCACGCACGCAGGCAGGTACGGTAGGTCTGCGTCGTGTCGACCAGCGGCGACCCCAGCGCGGGCGTTCAAGGTTGAACGCCGCCGGCGGCCCAGAATCGGTCGATGTTGAACGATCGGACGTTGCGGCAGCGGCCGATCGTTCAAGGTTGAACGATCCCTGCGGTGTCAAAAACCAACGCCGGGGTCGGCACGACACGAACCTGCCGTACGAGACTGTGCTCAGACACAGCCCCGTCTGGCACGCGAGGCGATAAGGCGAACAGGCGCGCCATGAATTACCACGAACGGTAAACAAAGCTCCGCGCGCATGGCGGACTTGGCGCGATGCCGTATTCACTCAACATAAAACGCTCAAAACCCTCATGATGCTCACCGTGCTCTTCGTCCGTCTACTGCCTCCTCTTTCTCTTCCCCATCCAATGCCAGAAACAGCCGTTATGCAGGATCGATCGCGGCGGGAGCTTGATTTCCAAAGCCCCGTTGGCAATATCAGAAAGAGCGTGTTCTACCGCTCCTGGCGGAAAACCGGGGGGGGTCACTACCGGTTCGAACCCCTCCCCCCCCCCCCCCCTCCGGAAAACCGGGGGGGGTCACTACCAGTTCGAACCCCTCTCCCCCCCCCCCCCCCCCCCCCCCCAGCTCATCATGAAAAGGGGGGGGTGTCACTACCGGTTCGAACCCCCTCCCCCCCCCCCTCGAAAACCGAGTGGGGGTACGGGGGGGGGTCACTACCGGTTCGAACCCCTCCCCCCCCCCAGCTCACATCTGGGGGGGGGGGGGGGTCACTACCGGTTCGAACCCCCCCCCCCCCCCCTCGAAAACCGAGTGGGGGTGCGGACAGTGGTGGGGACGGTGTTGGTGGGGACAGTGGTGAGGGGACAGCGGGACAGTGGTGGGGACAGTGGGACAGTGGGACAGTGGTGGGGACGGTAGTGGTGGGGACAGTGGTGGGGACAATGGTGGGAACAGGGGGGACAGTGGACAGTGGTGGGACGGTGGTGGTGGGGACAGTGGTGTGGGGACAGTGGGAATGAGGTGGAAACACTGGGACAGTGGAGGGTACAATGGTGGTGGGGACACTGGTAAAGGCGGTGGCGAGGACGGCGGTGGGACAATGGGACAGAGGTACAGTGGGGACAGTGGTGGGGACAGTGGGGACAGTGGTGGGAACAGTGGGACAGCTCAGTGGGACAGCGGAGGAGTCAGTGGGACAGTGGGGACAGTGGGGATAGGCAGTGGTTGGGTCCGTGGAGACAGTGGGGAGAGTGGAACCGTGGTGGGAACAGTTGTGGGAACAGTGGGGACAGTGCGACAGTGGTGGGGGCACTGGTGGGGACAATAGGGACGGTGGTGGAACCAGTGGGGACAGTGGTGGTGAGGACAGTGGTGCTGGGAACAACAGTGGGGGATGTGATGCGAGCGGTGGTAGGGACCGGGAGTCGTTTGCTGGCGGTGCGTGGGGGGGGGGTCGAACCGGTAGTGACCCCCCTCCGGTTTTCGAGGGGGGGGGGGTTCCAACCCCTATGGACCCCCCCCGGTTTTCCGGATCCGGAGGGGGGGGTGGGGGAAGGGGTTCGAACCGGTAGTGACCCCCACCCCGGTTTCGAGGTGAGGGGGGGGAGGGGTGGGGGGAGGGGGGGGTTGAGGCCGGGGGAGGGGGGGGGGTGGGGGGGGGGGGGGGAGGGGGGGGGAGGGGGGGGGGGGGGGAGGGGTTTCCGGAGGGGGTGGGGTCCCCCGGGTTTCCGGAGGAAAAGGTTGGCAATTTTCCACAGTAAAGCGGCGGTGGATCACGCTCTCTCCAATATCAGAAGCCCCGTTGAAAGGATCATGCGTTGGAGGGATGAGGAGGGAGAGTCGAGATGACGATACAGATGATAAGGATGACCAGGATGATCACGATGATAATGATGATTATGTTGATGATGATGATTATGATGATGATGATGATGATGATGATGATGATGATGATGATGATGATGATGATGATAGTTAATGATAATGGTTGTGGTGGTGATGATGTTGATGGTAATGGTGATGGTGGTGGTGATGGTGATGCGATGACGATGGCGATGATGATGAGGATGCTGATGATGATAATGATGTTGATAATGATGATGATGACGATGCTGGTTATGGTGATCATGGTGATGGTGCTGGTGCTGGTGGTGGTGATGGTGATGGTGATGGTGGTGGTTGTGCTTATCGTGGCGGTAATGGTGATGGTGACGTGGATGATGATGATGATGATGATGATGATGATGATGATCTTGATGATGATGCTGCCGATGATGATATGATGATGCTGATCATTGTGATGATGATGAGGAGGATGTCGATGATGATGATGATGGTGGTGGTGATGATGCTGATGATGATGGTGGTGGTGGTAGTGATGGTGATGGTGTTGGTGATGATGATGCTGATGATGATGTAAGTGGTGGTATTCATGATGATTCTGAAGATCTATGTGGTGGGTATTGTGATGTTGGTGGCGATGACGACGACGATGACGAAGACGAAGACGATGACGATGACGATGACGATGACGATGACGATGATGATGATGATGATGATGATGATGATGATGATGATGATGATGATGCTGATGATGATGATGATGATGATGATGATGCTGATGATGATGATGGTGATGATGATGATGTGATGATGATGATGATGACGATGACGATGACGATGACGATGATGATGAATGATGATGATGATGTGACGATGATGATGATGACGATGCTGATGCTGATGATGATGATGATGATGATGATGATGATGATGATGATGATGATGATGATGATGATGATGATGATGATGATGATGATGATGATGGCGATAATGGTGATTACGATGAGGACCAGGAGGAGGACGGGGGAGTAGAGGAGGGCGGAGGGAGGGAGGATGGAGGAGGCGGAGGGAGGGAGGATGGAGGAGGAGGAGGAAAAGGAGGAGGAGATGGAGGAAAAGGAGGAGGAGCAGGAGGTGGAGGAGGAGCAGGAGGAGGAGGAGCAAGCTGCAGAAAGGGGCCCCTGGTCGAGGAAACGAAAGGGTTGAGCCTGCGCCCTCGGCTGAAACCAGCGGAAGGTCGGTGGAAGCGGGCGCAGGTAAGAAACCGATCCTTCAGGAACGATCCATACCAGCGTTCGTACGTGGGGTCCAGTATGTGCCCAAGGCGACGACGGCGACGACGACGTCGGGGACTCTTCCGGGGCGGACGTACTTCGCTCGTCGACCACCTGCGGCGAGCAGCGCGGCGGGGGGCCAGAGGGTGCCAGCTGCCCTCGAGGGACCTGGGGCGTGGGCGGAAGGCAGCCGCGTGAGGGGGGTCAGGGTTCATTTCGATTCCTCCGACTCGATTCGGTTCGATTTCGGGTGGCTTCCGATTCCAATTCGATTCGGCTTCGGATCCCGATTTGGCCTCCGATTTCCCTCTCATTGGAGGCCTACTCGCCTGGCGATTTCTGCCGATTTGCCTTTTCCCGACTCGGCTGCCGATGTCCGCCGATCCGATTCATGTCGATCGCCGATCCGACTTATCGATTCGATTCTGGGCTCTCCTGGGGGGTGGGGTGGGGGCACGGCCGGCCGCCGGGAGGAGGACGAGGCCGCGGTGCTGGCGTGGCTGATGGCCCAGGAGCGGGGAGACTTGGCCACGCCCACATGGAGGTATGGGGAGGGTGGAGGGCTTCTTAGGAGCACCCCCGCTTCTTAGAAGGAGCGGGCCTTGCCTGTAATGCAGAGTTGGCGCCTTCTAAGAAGCAGCCTCCTCCTGAGAAGCCTTGCCCCCTCCCCCTGCCCCCTTGCGCGCGCCGCCAAGACACGTGAGACTCGAGTGCGCCGGAACTCGGGTCTGCTGACGCTTTTTGACGAGCGCGTCCCGGATTTCGACGGTTCAGTTTTCGTGGGATGTCAGAAGAGGCAGATCGCGTCAAATCTAAGATTGAATCTCGTCATTCTCATGATGGCCCCATCAGGCCAACCCGAGTCCCCCGAACCCGAGCCTTACGTCTCCTCGACAGGAGGGCGTGGTGGATGCGGTCAACTTGGCGCTGGAGGACCGCGAGGACGAGGCTGGCCCAGCGCTGACGAGCGCGGTGCGCGCGTTGCTGGAGGCGGGGTGTCGAAGGCTGCAGAACCGCACGAACATCAATTTTCTGAGGTCGCGCGGATCTCTCGGATTTGCGCTGGGCCCCCCTCCCTGGCGCGCGGAGCGCGCTGGGGGCAGATGCCGCCTACCTGGGGAGCCCAGTGCCGATCCAAGAAATCCGCGCAGAGCTTCAGACGTTTATGTTCGGTGCAATTTCTTAGTCTAGAGGAGCCGGGTCCCGCTGACGCAGCTCCCGAGGGCGACGGCGGTCCCGCGCGTGCGTCCAGGAAGCGGCCCCGCTCCGGCGCGGCGGGGAGGGCGCGGTGCGTGTGCGTGGTGGTCTGCGGGCTCCGGGGCTGCGGCAAGAGCACGCTCTGCAACATCTCGGAAAGGAACAAGCTGCACAGGGCATAAGCGCTTCAGACCCTTAGATCTGGGCATGGCAATTTTTTCACTCCGGTCGTTGCCGCCTCGATTCGGGGCCTGGGACCATCACAGATCGATCCGCCTCGAAAAGTGCCATAGAAAGACCGGGTATTGGGCTCTAGTCGTTACTTTCTGCTTTCTGCTGACGTTGCTATTTTGTCGCGACGTCGGATCTCAGGGCTTCCGGCGAGGAGATGAAGGGATCGCCGCCACCGAGAGCCCATGGGTGGGAGGCCGCCTCCTGGGGGGTGGCACGCCCGAGCGCCGCCCGGTACAGGGCGACGAATGGCGCTCGGGCGTGCCACCGCCCAGGGGTCGGCCTCCCCCCGAGGGGCTCTCGGTAACGGTGGTCCCCGTTTCTCCTTTGGGCGTCGGGAGCTCCACGCGGATCTCTCGGACAGGCGCCAGACGCACGCGCCGTCGTCGTCCTCCTCTTCCTCCTCCTCCCTCCCCCCCCTTCCCTGCTCTTCCCTCCTTCCTCCCTCCTCCTCCCTACTCCTCCTCCCTCCTCACCTCCTCCTCCTCCTCCTCCTCCTCCTCTCACCTCCTCCTCCCTCCCTCCCTCCCTCCCCCTCCCCCTCCATCCCTCCCTCCCTCCCTCCCTCCCCTCCCTCCCTCCCTCCCTCCCTCCCTCCCTCTCCCTCCCTCCCTCCTCCCTCCCTCCCTCCTCCCTCCTCCTCCTCCTCCTCCTCCCCTCCTCCTCCTCCTCCTCCTCCTCCTCCTCCTTCGAGTACTTCAGCACGGGTCTGCTGGGAGAGAGAGAGTGGGAATCCGCCGCCTTGCCGCCCTGGTGGGCTCAAGCTTTAAAGGTGAAGGCAGCCGCACTCGCCCGCAGTTCGCGCATGCCCGACCTGGCGCTGCTCGCGGCGCAGTGGGCTGGGCAGGCGACCCTCGTGTGGCTCGGCTCGTGCCTCCGCTGCCCCGACGCGGCTTGCGAGTCGCTGGAGTGAGTGCCCCACGGTGCACCGTTCGCCGACGCCGGCGCGCCCGCTTCTCCCAGCTTGCTCACCGTGCTCGGTGGCTCCCGAGGCGGTCTGCCTCCCCGCCCCCGGATCGACCCCGAGGCTGACCAGCTGGTTGAAGCACAGAAGGCTCCTCCTCTCTGGGTTCGTGGCCGGGGTCGTCGTCTCCGCCTCGGCGCTGCTCGACTTCTCGGGGGCATTGCGGGACATCGAGGCGTGGCACTGGTCGGGGGTCGACTGGGCCCCGCCTCCAGGCTTTCTCTGCAACCAGGTCTACCGCTTCGACCGGGAGCTCGACGCAGCCGTGCTCCCCACCCTTCGCACGCAGGCGGTGACCTGCTGCGACGCCGCCTGCCTGACGCGGGAGCGGACCGCCGGCCAGCCGGCGGGGCGGCCTGCCACAGGCAACGCTATCGACGCCGTGTGGCCGACCCTCGGGGCAGCCGCTGCGGTGGCGGCTCCAGCCGCCGGCGGGGACGTTGCCCGCTTGGTGCTCCTCGAGCCCGCACCCCCTGGCGGGGCTGCCGCGCCCGGAGCCGCGGCGCCGCGGCCCCTCCCTTTGGCGGCGGCGCCCGCCGCGCCTGCAGGGGTCGGCTCTGCCCCCGTCGTCGCCAGGGGCGCTCTCCCGCTCGCAGGCGCTCCTGCCGCCGCCCTGGTGGCGGCTCCGCCGCTAGGCCTGGCGCCCTCCGGCGCTGTCCCCGGCGCCGTCCTTGGAGCCCCGCCTGCTGCCGCGCTCCCAGCGGCGCCGTACTTCATCCTGGCCAACGTCGAGACGACCCCGTTCGGCCTGCGCGGACTTTTCGTCACCGCCACTGGCACCGAGGTGATGTCGGGCAGCGTCGGCTTCAGCTCCGCGCCCTGGGTCGGCATGTTCGTGGTGCGCCACGTACGCCTGGACCAGGTCCGGGTGTTCCGCAGGCTCGGGGCCGCCGTCGACGCTCACCTCCTGTCGGTCATCTCCCAGAGCGGCCAGCGGATGGGCCGCCCTTGGCGCGGGGTGTTCGCCTCACTGAGCGAGATCGCCTTCGCCGACGGGGCCGCGAAGGGTCCTGCCGCTGGATCGACCGCCGAGGCGGTGGGCCGCTCGATCATCACCGTTTCTTCGCGACGGTCCTTCGCCTCAGCAAAGACAGCTGGGGCGTCTCCAAGCGCGAGTTCGGCGTCGAGGCCCTCGAGCTGCTCGACTCGTGCGACGGCTTTGACCTGCCCAGCACCTCGGGCACCGAGTCGCTGTCGCAAGAGGTGCTGCTCGTGGAGTACGCCTACGTCAAGCACAGCGACTTCTCTGGCTCCCCCCCTGATGCAGGGGGCGACGGCGCTGGGGACAAGAAGAAGGGCCGCGGCCGCGGCCACGGGGACGCCGTCGGCGCGTTCGAGTACCTCGACGAGTACACGGCCACCCGTGGGCAGCGTGAGAGCGGCGACGCCATGGTGAGTCCTGCTCTCGCGGGGTGGGTCGGCAAGCAGGAGATGCACGACGCCGACATCTTGAAGCAGGTCCGCAAGGCCCGAGACGTGAGGGCCGACGCGGGCCGGGGCTCGGGTTAGCCATAGCTCCAGCGCGCCCCGGGGGTCTCCTCGGGGCGCGCCCGCGGTCGCACCCCCCGGCGCCCGCCGTTTTTCGTTTGAGGGGCTAGGCTCGCCGCGGCACGCGCGCCTTGATTTTCAGCCGCCCGAGGGGCCGGCACCTCCCTGCGCACCCTCCCAGTCCGCCTCGCGCCTCTGTGTGGCACCTGGCCCCATGGCGCGTGCATGCCCTCGTGACCTCTTTCCCCTTCCTGTGCCGGCCTCCCTCGACTCCTCTAGGGCCCTTGTCTCTCGCAAAGTTCGAAGGAGATTTGAGGTCCGCCGTCAGTCCGCATCCCTGGTATCGGAGGTGGTCAACGTTCTGAACGAGTGATACGGTTGTCGTGGAGTGGATGGCGCACATAAGATATCAGCTGCCCAGGAAGCGCGCTTGGGTCATATCCAACGTGCAGTCCGTCGTTTCGGAAAACCACCCGATGACCTCTCTCCTGCAGGGGCCTTACGAGAGCTCCGCATTAGCCCTGGATACCAGCAGGTCGGCAGTTCAGTGGTTCCCATCAGCGAGGCCAATTTAGATCGCGTCGCCCTTCCCCCCGCTGGGTGGTCACCCGCGGATGTCTTACAACTGGGCGGCCCCGTCGGCGAAGCCATAGTTGATGAGTTGCATGCGCTGCAGCGGTCTGTTCCAGCTGTTGCAGATGCCTCTTCCTCGGTCCTCAGAATCTACCACGATCCTTACCTCCGTTCCCATCCTCGGCTTTATGCGCGGTTTTTCCACGGACTCAAGGAGTCGAACCTTGTCACCTGGAGGCAAGAATGCACCTCTCGTGTTGGAGTTTTCTTCGTAGCAAAGAAGAACGGCGACCTCCGTCTCATCCTTGACGGGCGACAGGCGGGCGAGCATTTCGGCGAACCCCCTCGTGTTGACCTAGCTACTGGCTCGGCTTTTTTCCGCGCCGGAGGTCGACGGTGGGGGCCCTATCTTCGTGGGAGAAACAGATTTTGAGAATGCTTTCTATGGTATCCAATTACCTCAGGAGTTCTGGCAGCATTTTGGGCTTCCTCGCGTTCGTGCTGGGGTCTTGGGCATCTCAGTTGACAGCGCGGGGAAGCCCTTGAGGGCCTCTGACTGGGTTACGCCTTGCTCTACCGCCGTGCCGATGGGGTGGAAACACAGCCTTTGGATTTGCCAGCGAATCATGGAGTTTCGAGCTCGTACCGATACTCTGGCCTCTCCTAGCTTAGCTTTCGATGATGCTCATCTTCCTGTCCGACTTTGCCGCGGCTCCAACAAAGTTTTACATGCTGAGTACGTGGGCAACTTCGTAGCCCTGGGCCTCTCCGAGAACCCCGCGCACACCGTGACTGACTCTGTCGACCGCAGCCTCCGTGGGGCTGGGTTCCGCGCGCATGGCCCAACGGTGTCAGCGGGCGGAGGCGTTCTCGGTTGGACCTTCGACGCGGAGTCGCCGACGATCGGGATCAGTCACCGTGTAGGCTGGCGTGTCCGGCTTGGGTGTCTGGCGGTCGCGAACTTGACTTGCGCCTCCGGGGGCCTTGTCCGGGTCGTCGCGTCGCATTTCACGCCCCAGGCCCTGCTGCGCCGGGAGCTTTTATCTTGTCTGCAGGCCTCCTATTCATTCATCGAGAGCGCTGGACATGACTCTCGAGTCTTGTGGAAGTCTGTCAAAGAGAGCTCCGCTGGTGCGCCGCCCTCATCGCACTCGCTTTCCGCGACGCCGACGCCGCCTGGCCCCCCTCGGTCTACTGTGCTGATGCGTCGTGGTGGAGCGCTGGTGTGGTCCGTGGGTGCCGCGCGGTCCCGGAGGTCTAGAACGCGGGCCACTACTCCGAGCGTCCCCGCAATTCTGCGGCCCACGAGGCCTCCATCAAGCCCCGGGACTCTGCGTTAAAGAGCGCGGTCAGTGGCGGCGTCGCCGCCCCCCCCAGGACTCCGAGATCCCGAGGGCCCCTTTCCCCGAGGTTCCTAAGTCCATGTGCGACGGCAACTGGCCCCTCGCCATGTCTCAGAAGTGGGCCCGGAAGTAGGCCCAGGTTGTCCTCGAGGCTCGCTCCCTGGTCCTTACCGCGAAGCACATCGTTCGGAACACCCAGAACTTCGATCGCAAGCATTTGGTCCTGAACGATTGCGTGGCTCCGATCCTGGCCGTCACGAAGGGGCGATCATCGTGTCCCGGTATGATGTTGCCGGCAGATTGCGGCACTGCCAGGAGGGCCCAACTAGCCTTTAACAATGGTCTTCCACTTTTTATGGCTAGTTGGTTGCATGACTTATCATGGTGAGTTTTGTTCTGCCGGCGCCAGACGAGGGCGTCGATCCGGATATGCGTGGTGCCAATGTGCGACCTATGTTAGCACATGTGACGTTGGCCACGGCCAATATAAGTTTGGATAGGTCGATCGCGGAGGGCCATGGTTGGTCGGTCGGTCGGCTGGCATGATTGGCGCCGCGTTTGCGTCTGGAGGACAAACAATTAA